TATCTATCTATCTATCTATCTATCTATCTATCTATCTATCTATCTATCTATCCTCCCTCTCTCTTATCTCTCTCTCTCTCTCTCTCTCTCCCTCCCCACCTCTTATCAATCTCTCTATCTATTTCTCTCTCTATCATATCTCTATCATCTCTCTATCTATCCATCCATCCATCCATTTCTGCAGAAATTCAACAGCAGATTCCACAATTCCTGCATCCCATTGAAGCTACATAATGAAATTCGTCGAGTGCACTTTATCAGGATTAATTTCAAGCCACACCAAGGCCTGACACAAGATATATCAGTAACTCTTCCTTGCAGAGTCAGTAGGACACACCAGGCTAGGCTGAAAAGGATAATTGATGGCTTCTTTGTTTGGGCAGGCGTCCTCCTTCTGTGAGGACTGCGAGTGTGCGTTACTGCCCCAGGTTTAACAAGTTGTAAGGATTCAATCTGTGTTCTTTTTAAGACAGAGAGAATGATGTCAAGAGGACAGTTGCTGCTTGGGTCAAAAAAATTGGCAGTTATAATCAGGCAATTGAGGCCTCGCCTCCTTTTAAACCCAAAAAGGGGGTGGGGCCTCAATTTGCTGCTACCATCTTGACTTTTTTCGAGCTCCTTCCCCATGGACAGCTCTGAATCTGCACCTGCCGGCAGGTGAAGCAAAAGACAGACAACAGCCGGGTAGTAAGATCTGGATGCTTCCTATATTTACATTGAAAAGCCAAGCAAAATTCAGCACTGGTCACAACCCAGATGTCGTAGAATCTAGACTAGGGTTGCCCAACCTTGGCAACTTTAGGACCTATGGACTTCAACTCCCAGAATTCATCATCCAGCTGCAAATTACACTACTGTATATCAATCCAAGATGTGCGATGGTTCAGTGGTTAAAGATACTGAGCTTGTCAGCTGGAAAGCTGGGTTTGAGACCCAGCGCCCTGCGATGGGGTGAGTTCCTGTCCCTTGCCCCTGCTCCTGCCCACCTAGCAGTTCAAAAGCATGCAACTGCAAATAGATAAATAGGTACCACTTCGGTGGGAAGGTTAACAGCGTTCTGTGCACCTCGGTGTATAGTCATACTGGCCACAGGACTGCAGAAACTGTCTTCAGACAATGCTGGTTCCCTTGGCCAGGAAACGGAGATGTCAGACACAATTGGACAGGGGAAACCTTTGTCTTTATCTCAACCATGGCAACTTTAAGATATGTGGATTTCAACAGCCAAAATTCCTCAGCCAGTATGCTGGCTAGGGAATTCTGGGAGTTGAAGTCCGGAGATCTTAAAGGTGCTATGGTTAGGAAACACTGGTTTAGTGTAACCCAGCATGAACCAGGTTACAGAGCTGCAAAGCTGACACACACACACACACACTTTTCACCTGCTGTCTTTCCCCCCTTCTCTTACATTTAGCTTTGAACCTTTTTTTTTTTTTTTATCTTTTCCAAGATACAGGAGCAAAACTCGGTCCGAAGGTCTCTGCTCCTCCTGGATTCCTAAGTAACTTCTACAACAGGTTAGTAGTTGATGCTGTTCTTAAAAATAGCGAAGTACTATTTTGGCTGAACTCAAACACAGTCCCTAATAAATCGAAATTCGTCTCTGGGTAAAACAGGAGAGTTGTACAACTTTTCAAAAAGAAAGAAAAAAAGCAGCGACCTTGGCCCCATAACCTCCTTTCAACATTTGGCTGAAAAAGCCCGATCCCCCCTCAATGCCCTCCAAATATGTCCCAGGGATCATTTGGGGGGTTTGGAAGAGGTGGTCCTTAAGAGACGAGGACCCCCAAGCCTATTTAATACGTTGGTCATGCTTGCTACCCAGTGTGTAACATCAACATTTGTGGGCGGAGTAACATGTAGGATGGCGGGTTCTAGGACAGGTAACACCCCCCTCCTTCTTACCTGTCTTCTGTCAGGTCCATGAGGGTTAAGCCATGATTGGAGAAGACAATGAAGGACATTCTCAACTGGGGGCTGCAGAAAGAAAGACAGCAAAGTGAGGACTTTCCTTCCTTCCTTCCTTCCTTCCTTCCTTCCTTCCTTCCTTCCTTCCTTCCTTCCTTCCTTCCTTTCCTTCCTTCCTCTTTCTTTCCTTCCTTCTTCCTCCTTCCCTCCCTCCCTCCCTTCCTTCCCTCCCTCCCTGTCTGCCCCCTCTCTCCCCTTCCCCTTCCTTCCTTCCTTCCTTCCTTCCTTCCTTCCTTCCTTCCTTCCTTCCTTCCTCTCTCAGGGAATCCTGGCAATATTCCTCTTCCCAGATGAATATGTGAAGTGTCTCTACTGGCTTTTTCACAAGAGATAGTCAGAAAAGTCAAGATGTGACTGTTGAAATGAAACTTCATCTCTTTTTGTGTTCATTCCATGCGTGGCTGTCTCTGCAGACTGTATATAATTTTTGGCGCTGCTGGTAGAAAGAGATCCATTCCTTACATCATTCCGAAGGCACGCCTCTTCTACAAATATAAATTAATCTGGGGATCATTTTTTGGATGCTCTTCTCTGAGCAGAGCCAGGGATTTATTTACAGTGCTTAATAAGGGCTTTAATTCCATTTCAACCCCCCCAAAAAAAGACAAATCAAGGAGATTTACAAAAGTAGTTGGCAACCTTGAACAAATCTTGGTCAATTCTCCACCCCTCACCAAATCACAACTTTCCTCTCATAGATCCTTTCGTGACAACTCAGTTAAAGTATATTTCATTGCTTACTAGGTTTAGAACCAAACCGTAAGACTCAAAATGTGGCAATTTTCTTCCTCTAAAAAAACTAGAGCTTCTTGAAAACAATTAATCAGGTTCTGATAACTTCCAGGAGTTTGTGCTCTCGAAAACACACAGGGAAACAAACTGTTTGGAATTCTTTGAAACTTGTGTTCCCTTTCTTCAGTTAAGAGGAAATCCAGTTCGAGGCAACAACAACACCAAAAATGCAAAACAAATGCGGTGTTTTTCTCAATTATTTTGAAATTGCCCAATAAATTTCCTTCAGCTACAATGTTGCTGAGAATCAAAGGAACAACCAGGTTTTAAGAGGGCAAACTTGAGTCAAGAGAAGGAAAAAAAATAGAATAGAATAGAATAGAATGCAGAATAAAATAGAATAGAAAATAGAATAGAATAGAATAGAATAATGAAGGAGTGGAGAGGAGAGAAGAGACTAGAAGAGATGAGAGAATACAATAGAGTAGAGTAGAGTAGAGTAGAGTAGAGTAGAATAGAATAGAATAGAATAGAATAGAATAGAATAGAGTAGAGTAGAGTAGAGTAGAATAGAATAGAATAGAATAGAATAGAGAATGGAGTGGAGTGGAGTGGAATAGAATAGAATAGAATGCAGAATAGAATAGAATAGAATAGAATAGAAAATAGAATAGAATAGAATAGAATAGAATAGAATAGAAAATAATTGGAATAAGAACAGAACAGAACAGAACAGAACAGAACAGAACAGAACAGAACAGAATATTCTTTATTTAGCCAAGTGTGATTAGATACCCAAGGAATTTGTCTCTGGAGCAGAAGCTCTCAGTGTACATGCAAAGGAACAGAGTAATAGTAATCATAATATGATACCAATAAGAGGAAAGCAGTATAGAAGATGAGAAGGATAATAGCAGTAATACTACATCCATACAAGATGGGTAAATATATTTAGACATAAAACAATATCGTCTGTGTCTAGTTGCTTTGGCATGCAATACCCTAGAGCGCCATCACAAGGGGAGGAGTTGAAACAGTTTATGTCCAGGATGTGAGAGGCCTGTAGATATTTTCTCAGCCCTCTTTCTGACCTGTGCAATCGACAGGTCTTTGTCGATAGTCCTAACGATCCGTTGAAGTCCGTCTCTCTCCCGCTGTACCAAACCAGACAGTTATAGAAGCACAAATGACAGACTCCATAATTCATCTGTAAAACCGTATCAGCAACGCCTGGGGCAGTCTGGATTTTCTGCGCTGGCTGACGCAGGGAGAACATTCTTTGTTGTGCCTTTTTAACGATGGTTCTAAGGTTAGGTGTGTCAGCGTTCCAGAAACAAACCCAACTCCAAGTAAAAAACTCTGAAGCAAGCATTTTTCAAGGTTCTATTTACTAGAATAGGTAAACTGGCACATCTGGGAAAACCCGAATCTGAGAACCCCCAAAACCATCCCCTCACTCCTCTGTTGATCACATGCTCCAACGTCCCCTCTCGAGGCAGCACTCTGACCACTCCTTCTCCAGATGCAGGATCGGCCTGACCTTGACTAGCAGGAAGAATGCTATGATGTCTAAAGACAACCCCTCTACTACTTTCCCACATATGAGAAGGTGGCAGCATGGAAGCTTCCAGCCTAATATGGCTTCCAAAGCTGACAAGGTGTCTATTTCAAATCGTAAGAGATTACGGGACCCCAAAAGTTGATGGATTCTACTGTTGATACTGAAAAGAACATCTGCTTGATTCTCTTCTAGCCTACATCAAGGCTACAGTCAACACACTTGAGTATCGCGACTGCTATGACTTTGGAGTAAACATGCAGAGGGCCAAGGCAGATGGCTCAGCCCACTGCAAACCCACATCTTATGCTGCCAGCCGGCCATAATTTCTTACCTTATGAATTTGTGAGCCAGATGTTCCACAAAGTAATAGATTTCACTCCAGTGGTGTAGGACGCTTCCTGATCTGGAAAAAAGAGCACGCCAGAGAATATTGACTTCCGTAATTTTATGTTGTCTTTTTAAAAGCGTCTGTTGTTTGGCAGTTGTTACGTGAGTGACACCCAATTTTACAACTCTTTTTTTTTTTTTTGGCCATGGTTGTTAAGTGAATCACAGTTTTTAATTGAATTCGGCTTTCCCCATAGACTTTGCTTGTCAGATGCCAGCTGGGAACGTTGCAAAAGCTAATCACATCACCTTGGGACACTCCAGGGTGAATTCTGACAACAGAAAAAGACTCAAAAGTAATTGTATGAAAATGCTGGCACCCCAAGTGAGTCTCCTTGGTGAGCTGCTTTTCATAGAATTCAAAGGCTGGAAGGGATCTCGGAGGTCTTCTAGTCCAGCCCCCTGCAGGAGACTTTATTCCATTCCAGACAAATTATTGTCTGGTCTTTTCAGCAAAAAAGAGATTCCAGATCTCTCTTTTTTGCTGCATTCACACCGTCCATCTTTAGATGTTTTGAAAGACCATCTGAAGAGGTTATTTCAAACTGCATTTGATGCCACAGAACGAACCCTGCCAATTATAGAAGAACCCAACAAGCCTTTTCTTGTTCAAAAGCATTTCTTTATAATCTTGATTATTCAGCACAAAGCTCAAGATAATTCACTATGACATGTAGGAAAAAATAAATGGGTGTTTAGAAACGATAGATTGTTTCGCCTTCCAATAATCCAAATAGGTCACCATTCTCAATTGTCTTTCTTCTTTTAATCTAATAACGTAAGTTAATGTAGCCAGATTTCTGTTTTTTCTGACTCATCCATTGAAGATCCTTGGCATATAAAGCTCTGCTTATCCAAATTGCGTTTGAAAGTTCTCTGCAGGGAAATTAAACTCTTCACATTTTTTGCAAGTTCATCACATGCAAAAATAAATAAATAAAAAATAGCTGCAGGATTAAGCCACAGTTTGCTCTCCTGCTTTGTAAAGTTAACTCAAAGCCCAAACCAGCTGGAGAATAAACCCCCTCTTAGATTTGCAAGGGGGGAAGGCAGCTCATTCTGATGCATCCACACCCAGGAAGAGGATTTGCTGAGAAAAGCAATAGGTCCAGCAGAATTCACTCTTTTTTCTTTCCTGTCCACAAGCGTCCAGAGAAAGGAGAGACCAGAAGCGGCAAATGAAGAGAATTATCTATTCTATTCTATTCTATTCTATTCTATTCTATTCTATTCTATTCTATTCTATTCTATTCTATTTATTCTATTCTATTCTCTATTCTAATTCTATTCTATTCTAATTCTATTTTCTATTCTATTCTGTTCTATTCAGATACAGATCGTAGAAAAAGACAGATAGCAAATTGAGTCATATAAATAAGCAAGAATGATAAGCCACACTTGGAAATGGGTGAGAACAGGGCAACTTAAGCTTCTCTCAATTTCTAATTTTATACTCATTTTTTTCCCATAATAAACAAGTTTCATTTCTGCAAAAGTTTGCCCTAAAGGCTTTGTGCATTAAGGTGCCGATGTCTTCAAATAAAATCTTTTTTTTTTTTTTGCAATTTTGTATCCTTTATATCCTTTTTTTTACAATAAATCACATTAGGTTGAGGAATATGTGCATTCGAGTAATAAGCACTTCTTTATTCCTTCTTGGGAAATAGAAGGAATGTCCTCAAACCCCAGAAACTCAGCTTGCTCAGATCTTAGCTTGGGAGCGAGATGTCTCCAGGGAAAGGTCCTAAGAAGCCGAGATGGCAGGGGTGACGATGCAACGGAAGTTGCCATTTGGACTTTTTTTGACCAAGCCCAGTGGCTGCCCTTCCTTCGAGATCTCACTGCACTACTAGACCGCCTGAAAAAGTTTCCACATTCTGCTTCCTTTGCAGAGATGCAGCTCAGAGCGAGAAGCACTGAGCTACGAAAGCTTGATTTTTCCATGGCTTTTCGCAAAAGGCCGGAAGCAAAAGGGAAGGACACGAGCTGCATCAGGCCCACCGACCAGAGGGGCTGTGAATGAACTCGGGGTGTGGGGTGTGGGGGGGCTGAGCCTGGTCTCCCCAGACGAAAGATTTGCATTCTGTGTGGTTTTTGAGTTACACACCACTTCTTAAATTCGCCACATAACTACATCTTGAAGGGTGTTTTTTTTTTTTTTCTCTGCTTGGAACAAGGATCCAAATATCTAAAATTACAGCTCTTTTTTCCATGAGATCTTCCCACACAAAGCCTCGCACAGAAAAAAAATGCTACAACCCCCCCCCCCCAATCCCAAGGTCGCATGCCAGCAAAGAAAAGGAGGGTGGGTGAAATCATTTGGAGGAAGAGATTTTTCCCTTCTGGATACTCTGCGCAGATTGAGCGAAGAACTCGAAAAAAGCAAAGATTTTTTTGCCCGGGAAAAAAAAAAATTGGAGGGGGAAAAAAAAAAAAGATTGCCACAGCTAAAGGGATTAAATCTTTTTTTTTGAAAACGATCTGGGAATTGAGAGTTTGCATAAGCTCATGCTGCATTTGGAAGGGCGTGATTTATCTTTTCCTGGCTTTTGATGGCTCTTTCCGTCAGCTGCCTTTAATCGCTCTTTAAATGAAACCGATGGTTTTATTGACGGCGCTATTTTGACGGTCATGACTGCTTTTGCAAAGCCCTATAGTTTTACTTTTTTTTTTTTTTTTGTCTTTTTGGGTCTGCAAAGTGATCTGTAAATACGATGAATAAATTTAAGTGAAACACATTTCACTGCGCGGGGAAGACGACAAGAAAAAAGGATTCCCAGCCCTGAGGCCCATGACATCCAGAGCTCACTTAATTGACATTTGCACTGAAATCACTCTTAGGAAATTGACGGGTTTTTTTTTTTGAGTAGTAGTTAATGTGCTTCCACTCTTCCGCAGAATTGGGATATTAAGTAAGACAGATAATCCTCAACGTACGACCCCAATTGAGCCCAAATTTTTGTTGCTAAGTGAGACAGTTGTTAAGTGATTTTTCCCTATTTTACAACCTTTCTTGCCACAGTTGTTAAGTGAATCACTGCTCATAAAATTATCTGCTACAATGTCCTAACTGTCAGTGACTACTTCAGCTTCAACCACAATATACGAGCACACAATAGATAGAAACTTAAAGTGAACCGCTACAAACTCGATTGCAGAAAATATGACTTCAGCAACAGAGTGGTCAATGCCTGGAATCTACCTGACTCTGGTTTCTTCCCCAACCCCCCAAAACTTTAACCTTAGACTGCCTACTATTGATCTCACCCCATTCCTAAGAGGTCTGTAAGGGACATGTATAAGCGCGCCAACATGCCTACCTTCCCTGTTCTACTGTCCCTTTTTATTCGTATCCATTTCACGTATTCAATTCATGCTTATACTTATATATATTACCTAATACGTTCTTGACAAATAAATAAAATAAATAAATAAAAGTGCAACTTGGAATAACACCTGTATCAACTCTAGGGGAGGGTGCTCGATTCCGTTTCCTAGCCAAGGAAGCCAGCGTTGTCCGAAGGCACTTCTGTGGCCATGTGGCACATGGAATGCTGTTACCTTCCCATTGAAGTGATGCCTATTTATCTACTCGCATTCGCATGCTTTCGAACTGCTGGATGGGCGGGAACTGAGGCGAGGAACGGGAGCTCTCATCCCATCACGTGGCGCTTGGGGCTCGAATCTGGCCTGTCAGCTTTCCAGATAACAAGCTCAGCATCTTTAACCACTGCGCCATTGCACCCCTCACATGCTCTCTATACAAAGAATAGTAAATAAGACAGCGAAGGGCAAACCCCAATGATTCATAATCTGGATTAGAAGCTGGTTCTCTCTGCCCACCAAGAACACCTGCCAACTTCACCCTCCTTATCACGGTGCAATGCCAAAATATGGTCCGTGTGTATTTTTAGAAGCTGTGCTGGATTTCTCACCCTGCATGGACAAATGAGAAGAAAGGGATAGTGTGGTGGGATGGCAGAAGGACAGAAGTTCTCTCTGGACCGGATTAGAGGTTAAGCTATCTATCCTCTGTTAGGACTTATGGTCATAGAGGTGCTCTGGTCCTGGTGTGAGATCTTTGAAGGCCACTCGTGAAGTTTCTGTCCAGCTGTTGAGTTTAACTGTCAGCCCTTCAGGATAGACCAGACATGGAAACGAATGCCCTGAAGATCAATACTACTTTTGTAAGAGCTGTGGTGGCGCAGTGGTTAGAGTGCAGTACTGCAGGCTACTTCTGCTGACTGCTGGCTGCCGGCAGTTTGGCAGTTCGAATCTCACCAGGTTCAAGGTTGACTCAGCCTTCCTTCCTTCCATCTGGGTCAAATGAGGACCCAGATTGTTGGGGGCGACATGCTGACTCTGTAAACCGCTTCGAGAGGGTTATTAAGCACAGTGAAGCGATATATAAGTCTAAGTGCTATTGCTATCAAAAACCGTGGTGATGGAGTGGTTAGAAGACAGTATTGCAGGCTGACTCTGCTCACTGCCAGGAGTTTGATCCTGACTGGCTCAAGGTTGACTCAGCCTTCCATCCTTCCAAGGTCGGTAAAATGAGGACCCAGATTGTTGGGGGCAAGAGGCGGACTCTGTAAACTACTTAGAGAGGGCTGGAAAGCACTGTGAGTTTGTATATAAGTCTAAGTGCTATAGCTACTGCCCTTCCTTCCTTCCTTCCTTCCTTCCTTCCTTCCTTCCTTCCTTCCTTCCTTCCTTCCTTCCTTCCTTCCTTTCCTTCCTTCCCTCCCTCCCTCCCTCCCTCCCTCTCAGTGGTTAGAAGACAGTATTGCAGGCTGACTCTGCCCACTGCCAGGAGTTCGATCCTGACTGGCTCAAGGTTGACTCAGCCTTCCAGGTTCAATAAAATGAGGACCCAGATTGTTGGGGGCAAGAGGCGGACTCTGTAAACCGCTTACAGTAAAAGCACTGTGAAGTTGTATATAAGTCTAAGTGCTATTGCTATTGCTATTGTAAATCAATAGTAAAAGAATCGTGCAAATCTGGATGTACTTCCCT